GTATTGTGCGCTGTTATATGTAAACATATAAGTATTAATATTATGAATTAAATAACAAATTAGTATTAAACCAATATCTAGTGAATGTCTAGTCGTATAAAGTGTGGTGAATGAGCACCGGTAGTGATGCTGACAATGCCAAGGATCACATTAACGCGAGTCATATTAGCTATCATTTTGATCACTTGTGTTACTCTATTAGGAGTGGATATTTGGCTGGAATTAAATGGAGTGAACACTAGTCATAACCATATGAATGCAAATCACAATCAATTAAATCATAATAAGTATAACAAACAAACGTTGTCTTCAAGAGAGCCGAGAGAACAGCAATTATTATCCAATGATAAGGATAACCAAATAAATAGTTTTGCAAATATTTTGAGTACAAATCGACATAATTATCACATGAATGGCATGAGTGAGAAGCCGTGGTTCATGGGAAACGGCACACGAAGGCCTTCCAGCCGTATGTCGGATGCGTTGTCCCTCTGGCCCGAAGAGTCACCCGAAGACCGAATTGTCAACCAATTGATGTATTTTCCTAAAGACTATAAGCAGTCAGACACTGAATTGAAGCGAATTGTGCTGTACTTGGGTCGGGGCGGTTGGAATGACCTGCCGATGGGTCGCATAAAGTTCGTGGCCGACAAGTGTCCGGTCGACAGGTGTTCCCTTAGCGCCAACGCTAACGACGCGCCCGAAGCCGATGCCATCTTCTTTAAAGAGCGCTTTCAATGGCCTAAACACAGACGTCCTGCTCATCAGATTTGGATACTTTTTTTACTCGAGTGTCCACTCCATACACAACTGTTTAGGAATCTGGGCGCCGGGGTCTTCAACTGGACGGCTACTTATAGACACGACTCCGATATCGTAGCGCCGTATGAAAAGTTTGTCTCCTATTCCCGCAATAAACCCAAACAAACCACACAAAAGGTACATTCAATAACTCTTATATTTATGACATTTTTAATTCAAAGTTCAAAAAAATTAATACAATAATCATATCTGTGTGTATGCCAGCCATTTACGTATACTGTACTAGTAATAAGATCTCTTGCTTTAAATATTAATTATAATAATTGAATGAATTTAATATACGAAATAAATGTCTATATTATCTTAAGTTTATAGTGATATATTTGTTTAAATATTTGTTTTATTATTGCAAGAAATTCTTAATTAATCAATTTTAATGTGAAATAGATCTATTCATTCATTAATAGATTAATTAAAACAAAAGTCTATCAAACACTGTAATATTTTATAAAGCTAGTTATTTTTTATTTATACAGTAGTACATTATACAGTACTATAATACTGTACATAGAGTATACGATTTGCAAAATTCATTTTGTTTCAGTTTATATTCTTAAATCTCTAAATTAAACAAACGAAATAATTATGATATAATTCAGTAATTAATTACGTTAGTATTTATTTATTTAGTTTAGTTTATAAATAACGCTGAACAAATTTAGTTTTTAATTAAGATTTAAGTTTATATTAGAAATATTTTAATTACTACATACAAGTTTAGTGGTAGGATACCTAATATAAGTTATTTGTACATTTAACAACGAATGATTCCTTATATAGTTATTATTGGAGATATTTATATTTAGAGATATTTGCCATACACTGTATTTATGCGTATTTACTAATTAGATAATGTGTTACTATTTAGATAATTGCACACAAATACAATGTTGTTGATGTATAAATAATTGAAATTGTAATGCTTATTCATATTATGGGATGACAAACGTAGAACTGGGGTCTGGGCAAAACAAAACAGGTAGCCTGGTTTGTGTCCAATTGTGG